ATATCCTAAAAATTGTTTTCAAGGCTCAGATCCTTTTCAGCAGTTGTTGAAATATTTTTTAGATTCAGATATTCAGAATGGATACACATTGGCCCAGGAGTTGAGATAGCTTTCCAGGAGGCAAAGGAGGAGGGAGGAAGGGACTCTGTCCCAAACTTAATTTAGAAATGTCTTCTATGGCTCATAAGCAGAGTGCCCATTGGTTACTACTCCATCAAGTTTCTTGAGAAATAGGCTACAGGTTGTGATTCATTTCATAGTTTTTGAACCAGGACTCCTAATGCTATTCCCCTTTATTTCTTTCTCACACACACACAATAAGGCTTTTTGTGAGATTCCCAAGGCAGGGGCCCATAAAAGAGCTTGACTTCTTCAAAGAGCCTGTTTGCTTCAGGGGTTCATTGCAGGCACTGTAAATCATCTCTCTGGGCAGTTCAAGTCCTGGCAGTTCCACTTCCAATCCAGCTCCCTGTTAGTGTGCCTGGGAAAGCAGCGGGAATAGCTCAAGTCCTTGGGCCACTATGCCTTGCATTGAAGACCTGGTAAAAGCTCCTAACCTTGGTCTGGCTCAACTCTGTGATGGCAGTTGGGGGAATGAATCAGCAGATGAGAGATCTCTCTTTCTGTTTGTGCCCATCCCCCTCTCTTTCAAACCAATAAAATAAAATCTTGAAACAAAACAAAACAAATTGCTGTGTCCTCTCTGTTGACAGGCCTAGAGTAATAATGTAGCCTAAGTACTGGACTTTTGTAATGAGCGTTGGGTCCTTTTCTATAAAATCTTACATCCTCAATTGGCTGAGACCTTAAGGCTTTGACTGTATTCTTTCTTTCTTTCTTTTTTTTTTTTTTTTTTTGGTAAAGATGTATTTATTTTTATTGGAAAGTGAGATATACAGAGAGGAAGAGAGACAGAGAGGAAGATCTTCTTCCATTTATTTACTCCCCAAGTGGCTATAATGGCCAGAGCTCAGCCCATCTGAAGCCAGGAGGTGGGTGCAGGGTCCCAAGGCTTTGGGCTGTCCTTGACTGCTTTCCCAGGCCACAATCAGGGAGCTGGATGGGAAGCAGAGCTGCCAGGACATGAACTGGCACACATATGGGATCCCTGTACGTGCAAGGTGAGGACTTTAGCTGCTAGGCTCTGCACCAGGCTCTGACTGTATTCTTGTATGACAATTTGTGAATGACTACAGATAAATTGATCATCCACATGTTGGAGTATTGTCCCCTGAGAGAGCTGAAGATCTCTTAAGGCTTTAAGTCTTGTGCATACAAGTGTGGGTAGTCTTGAAACCTTTATTACAAGTTGATCCAACTAAGTGGTTTGAGTTTTTGGATGTACCCATTCAAATACAAACAGCAATTGAGAATCCCAGTGCTCTGGCACACAGAAGAAACCTTCTTTAAGGTCTATGACACTAAACCATTTTGCCTGTTCTGGGATGAGTGTTCAAATAGTATAGGAATTAGCTACCGTAGGTTGTACTGTAATGACAGCCTCATTCTCAAACCAAAGTCTTGGAATAGCCTATATTTTCTTGTAGGCTTAAGAACTAGAACAGGTGAGTTGTAAGGAGATGGGTGAAATATTAGTAAACCAAATTTAAGAAATTTGTCAATAAATGACTGGAGCCCCAATTGTACTCCCCCCCCCCTTTTTTATTTTATCAGACACGGCTTACAAATGAGAAAGCAATTATAGTCTTTGGACTTAATATTTATAGATTGAACTGTTTTTTACCTCATCTGAAGATTACTTTGTCCTGACTTTTTTTTTTAAAAAGATTTATTTTTATTGTTTTTTAATTGGAAAGGCGGATATACAGAGAGGAGAGACAGAGAGGAAGATCTTCCGTCCGATGATTCACTCCCCAAGTGAGCGCAACGGGCCGATACTATGCCGATCCAAAGCCAGGAGCCTCTTCAGGGTCTCCCACGCGGGTGCAGGGTCCCAAAGCTTTGGGCTGTCCTCGACTGCTTTCCCAGGCCACAGGCAGGGAGCTGGAAGGGAAGCGGGGCTGCCGGGATTAGAACTGGCGCCCATATGGGATCCCAGGCGTGCAAGGCGAGGACCTTTAACCACTTGCGCCACCGCGCCGGGCCCTGTCCTGACTTTTGAATCAGCCTTTTTGTATAGCATCTGAAAAAGCTACATTTGAATTTTGTCGCATAAAAAAGGATAGCTTTTAAGTTTAAAGTTGAATTTGATAACAGTTGCCACTCTGATGAGTAGATCTCTGCTCTTTAGAGATGTGGGCATTGGGGTACAATAAGGAATGAGAGACTAAATTTTTTTGTCTTTTAATTTTCGGGTCAAATCAGGGGTAAATTCCTTGTGATTGGAAATTCCTTCAATCCCTGGAGTTTGGAGCAGGGCGTTCTGAGAAGGAAGTTAATATCAAGTAAATAGCGCCATGTTAATTAGAAATTATATTTGGTTACAGCAACATCAAAGGTCATCAGGGTTCCTCAGTGACAACAGGGATATCATTTGGGGGATCATCTTTTGCTCTCTGATAACTATAGTCTTGATGGTTGACTGAGCTTTTGGAAACAGAGGACAGTCCAGTATGTGACAAAAGCACACTCTGTGCCAGAGGCTTGGTGGTGTGCGGTGGGAGATTCACACCCAGCAGCTGTGAGCTGGCAGCCACGCTGGGGTCTGCCAACGCTGCCCAGAGCAGCTTTAGCCACTCTGCAGCAGGGACTCACTCAAGGACCTCAGATGTAGCCCCTTTGCTCTCAGGGTGCAGCCCTGGGCACAGCTTAGAGCAGCCTCATGTTCAGTGTCCTGGCCCTCATGCTTAAAACAAAATTGCCCTGTCTTCCCTTGTTTTGGGACCTGTTAGCCTACCCTTGTGTTTTTGAGCTCTGCCAAGGTTTCAGTTGTCACAACCACAACTTTAATTTACTGCCTATTTCTTCTTTTTTCATTGTAAATAGAAAGAGCCAAGTCTAGTAACTGGTCCAATAGGGTCTGGAAGCCTACCTACAGCATTTTAATTTTTTTAGTTAAAGATTTATTTATTTTTATTGGAGAGTCAGATTTACAGAAAGAAGATGAAGAAAGAGAAAGATTTTCCACAGGTTCACTCCCCAAGTGGTTGCAATGCCTGGAGCTAGGCTGATTTGAAGCCAGGAATTTCTTCAGGTCTCCCATGTTGGTTCAGGGTCTCAAAGCTCTGGGCCATCCTCTATAGCTTTCCAAGGCCACAGGCAGGGAGCTGGATGAGAAGTAGAGCAGCTGGGATACAAACTGGTGCCCATATAGAATCCTGGTGAATGCAAGGCGAGAATTTAGCCACAAGGCCATTGCCCCAGCCTTACCTATAGATTTCCTTCTTATGAAAGACAGTTCTGTTACTTTCCTTGACTTAGGTTTCTTTATGTTACTATTAATTCCGTTATTCAAGGCAACTATGTTTGTGGTTCTGGGGATCTCTCTCCCTGGGTTATTATAATCCCAAGCAGGCCCTGGGGAGGATATTGTCATCTCCCTGGGGGGTTGTTGTCACTGGGCTGAGTTGCAAAGAGGGTATCTATGTGTTTCCTAGCTGTTTCCAAAATTCTTTCATCAGAAATGCAGAGGAGGTTATCAAAATAAATCTGACCCATAGATCAGAGTCTCAGGTTAGAGCTTGGAACCCATCAGTGAAATCTTTAGGGTCCCTGGAAAAACATGCCCAGCCTGTTCTATTATTGGGCAGCTATAACAGAACATGGGGCTCTGACTGTTGTCTCTATTGCTGCTGCCTTCCTAGAGTGGATAGGTGCTATTTCCTTGAGTGGGTAGATATTTACTATTTTTGGTGCATGTAAGGCCCCATTTTGGGTGTGACTTTGACTTTGTGGACTGCTGGCTGATCTTTGATCTTAGGATGGTGGTACTAAACTGGTTAGAGCTGAGGCTAGAACTTCTGCAAGATTAAAGCTACTGCAGCCAGTGGTAGGGCTGAGGCCAGAGCCTTTGGTAGGGCCAAGGCTAAGGAGCTGGATCCTCCTGGTGATAGGGGATGTGGGAATCCCCAAGCAGTATCTCAGTCGCTGTGCCACGTAGTCACTTCCCGTGCATATATAATTGGTGGCTTCTTTGAGCAGGCCAACACCCAAACACCCCAATGCTCTTTCTATCCCTCGAGGTGGGGAGGTGCAGGTGGCCAGGCCTGGGCACATGGAGTTGCTCCTGCTCTTCTTGCTGTCTGGCTATTGAAAAGCATGTGGAAAAGTGAACTCACTGGGTACACATTCCAACCTCCAGATACTCTGCAGAGCAGGGTTAGGGCAGCCACACTCCCTAACCCTGGTAGGAATCCAAGCTGTTTCGGATAGGCACTGTCAGGCGCTTGGTGTGTGCAGACTTCTTCCTCACCCTTTCACCCGGGAAATGAAAACCAGCTTCTGAATCACATGCAGAAATCACATGGAAATGACCAGGCTAGAACAGAGAGCCGCACCTCAAGCAGCACCAGAGTCTGAAAACAGATTTCCAGTGTGATCTTGCAGGATAATACTAAGAGGTTTCCAGATTCCTAGGTGTGTTGAAATGTGGTCACTAACGGGGAAATTATAGAAAAGAATGGACTGGGTGTGGTGGTGATCACACCTCTGGGGATTTTCCTGGTGATGCTGTGGTCTGGGGCATCTCCCTTGCTGCTCCTTGGCTTGTAGGAGGAGCTGCCTGAAGATCTGGGTGAGCCACTGAGTCTGACCTTCTGGGAGTATGTGGCAAAAGCACATTGTTGTGCAAGAGGCTTGGTGGTGTGCAGTGGGAGATTCACATTCAGTAGTTGTGAGCTGGCAGCCACGCTGGGGTCTGCCAACCGCTGCGCAGGGCAGCTTTGGCCACTCTGCAGCAGAGATTCACACAGGCCTCGGGGAAGAACACCCCCCACCCTCCATTCCCCTCCAGGCTATCCCTGAGAGGAACACTAGCTCCACCCCAAGGGCCACATGCAACTTGAAAAAGGAATAAAGGAAAAGGTGGGTTCCAGTAGAAATATTGTATTTACTTTTAAAGACTGTGCTAGGTTTTAAGGCAAGTGTCACACATACAGAACAGTAAGAAGGGAACAGGATTTGCTACGACATGTTAGAGAATGGCCAGGGACAAATTTTCTGACAATGCGCAGTGTGGTTTGCCCTGGTCACCCCCTCTGCTGGCTCTGCTCTGTCTGGAAATCAAAGAACCGATGCTTCCAAGGGGACAGTCCCACGCGTGTCACACAGAAGCACTCTTCTCCAAATCTTGGTATCCTCGTGTGGCCGGGCCACATCCTGGACGTGGGGTACTCAGCCAGTGGATCGTCTTGTCCAGCTCTAATCTTAGGAATGGAAAATTCATCCTCAGGAATGGAAGACCAGAATGCCAAACACCACAACTGGTAGTTGAATGCACCCCATTCAAACTCAAACCTGCTTGGATTGGAGCTAAAACTATATACACACACAGAAGAAAAAAATGAGAACAAAAAAGATTGAAGCCTGAAAAATAGCAAATGTTCATTTGTGGTTTGAAATTAAACAATGTGATCTTCTCCCACACTCCTTTGAAAACAGCAGAGTACTGGCAGCAAGCTCCAGCTGGAGGGTAAATGCAGGCACCTTTCTGCTCAGTCCCTCCCTGGTTGTCCTGGGCAGGAGGCTTGGCTGGTCCGGAGAGTTGGACTTTCCTGTTGGTCTGGGTAGGCCTCATGTCCCCAGTTTTAAAATGAAGGGGGCACCTGATTGTTTCTGGACCACTTGCCTTCCAGTGGTTCACCACAAAGCTGTGGACCTCTCTTGGAGGGTCCAGATACAGAGCAACAGACTGGGAATAAACAAAGTTGAACATCGAGGGGCCTTCAGTGAGTGGGCTCTTAAAATAGGGTGGCAGTAGTGATGCCACATTCGGGAGTTGCAGTGAAATGTGGCCGTAGTGAACTAGCTAATTCATAACAACTTGAAGGACTCCAGGAAGAGGCTGTGTCTGATGCTACCATCAGACAACTACATGAAATGACAACAGCATGGGGAACAAAGTCCTGCTCACACAAGATGACTTCACTGGGGAAGGAGGTCTCATGGGGAAACTGACACTGGGGTAATAGATAAGCAGAGCTTATGGGTGTTAGCATTTGACATTGAGAGGTGGAATGGTCATTTTCACGGATTTACAGTTTGCCTCACTGAATCCCTCTGAGGTAGGTAAGAGGTGGTAACGTTAGCCCCATTTTACCAATGGGCTAAAGTGAGGCCCCGGGATTTGCTGTGATCATGCACTAACAGCCACAGCAGGCAGCAGCACCCTGTAGCTCACTGCTTTCTCTATACAGATCCCACCTCAAGATTAAAACGGAGTCCATGGGTAACGGCAGGCCATCTTACCAGTAATTTTAAACCTTGGTGCCCTGGCAGGAGTGGAATCTTATCTGTGGTAATCAGCCATAGTCAAGGGACTGGGAAGCTGGGAATGGGAATGGGGACCCCAACTCCAATTAGGACCTGGATTTATTAGAAGGAGGGAGGGCTTTGCTGTTGCCATGATACAGTGCTTTACGGAGGATCATGTTGTACTGGAGTTGATAGGCCAACAAGGGTTGTGAGTGTGATGACCTCATCATCCCCCAAGAGGAGGCAGCCCCTCTTGGGCTCACTGCCAGGTTAGAGTGGATGGAACTAAGCTGTAGAGTTGGAAGAGGCCTAGGCCTAGGGAACAGAAAGTGCTCTGGGCTGGGGTGGTACTTAGGCAACTGTGTATGTGCCCTGCTGCATCCGGGCCTGATAGAGCACCCCCTCTCTGTTCAAGCGATACTTTTCTCCTCTTGACCTCAGAATATGAATTGTTTACTTAATGCTACTGGCCAGAGACCCTCACTGTCTTAATACCCCCCTGGAGTATTTTTAACATTGACATTGGGCAGTGCCTCCAGTCCCACAGCAACAAGTGTGGTAGAAGGCACCCACACCCAGCTGGAGCACAAATTCTTTATACACCCGAGTCCCAGCTCAGGAAACTCCAGCCAGCTTAGAATTCGGGAATCTTTCCAATGCTAGCCGTTGACAAGGCAATGTGACAGGTGACTATAGGCCATCTTGGTTTGCCCAGGAAGCATCTGATGTATGGTCGTCTGGAAGCAATGACAAATACACCTGCATTTTTTCAAGCTTTAGCTGCAGGCCCTATGAGCCCATGATCACTGGAATGTGGGGGCTCTGGGGAAGGTTTCCAGACAGAGCTCCAGGTGCATACACAGCTGCTCCTGGACATGGATCAAACCAAGCATCAGAGTGTCCTAGTCTTTGGCACACAGTTCCGCTGAGGAGCCCGATGCCTGTGCTGAGAGCTCACCCTCAAACTGGTGGCTGGGCACAAGTGTTGCTCAGATTCGGTAGGGGCCTGGCCCATGTTTACCATGGCTGGGCTATGAGATAGGGCGCCCCTGCTGGCACAGCCACTTCACAGAACTGACTCCTTGGATTCCAGTTCCGGGGCGCTGACCACAGGGCCGGTGGGATTCTGGTGTGTTACCAGGGGCGATGTCTCCTCCTCAGACTTGGAGTTGGGGATGGCTTCCACTTTGACCTCGCTCAGTTCTTGCCCACCTCTCTTTTCTGCCTTCTGATTGAGGTGATGGAGAATGCCTGCACCCAGGGCATCGCCTTCCACGTTTACCACGGTGGTAGTCCGGTCCCTGGTGGAGAAAGGAAAAGGTGGGGATGACACCAGCCCCTTTGTGGGGGTGAAGAGCCGTGTCATGGCAGGTTGGATGCCATGGGAATACTGGTACTGGCAGGAGCTTTGCAGTTCACTAGAGAGCATGCTATGCAAGGGAGCAAGCCTCACCTTACCCTGCTTTTTAAATTTCTTTTTATCTGTGCAGCATGGAGAAGGTGATCTGTCACCCACTGGCTCATTCTCCAAATGCCTCCAATGGCTGCAGCTGGGTGAATCTGAAGTCAGGAGCCCGGAAGTCAATCCAGGTCTCCTGTGTGGGTGGCAGGGACCCAGTCATTTGCTGCCTTCCAGGGTGTGCATTAGCAAGAAGCCGGAGTGAGGAACAGGGTCAGGACTTTGGTATGGACAGTGGGTATCCTAAGTGGCATCTTGATTAACAAGTCAAACACCTGCCTTTATCCTACTCTGATTTTCTTTGAACATTGTTCATCCTGACAAAAGTATAGCATAGAAGAATTCACATCACAGAACTAGTAGACTGTGCCAAGATTTGAATCCAGACACTGGGTTATAGGGCTTACATAAGCTCTCCCTATTCACCATTAGTATCACACTGACTTTCCTGTAAAATAAGTGTTTATACCTGCCAAAGGTGTCATGAAACCCCTGACATTGTAGGGTGTTCTTACGGGAGCCTGGCAGTCAGCCAAGATGATGCTTCTCACCTGAATCCTTCTCCGCTGAGCCCACCTCACTCTCCTTAGCGTGGCTCTTCATCGCTTTCCTCCCAGAATTCATGCCTGTGCTGTTCCTGTCAGGGACACTCCTTCCCAATGCATTAGGGTCCCTGACTGCTGATTCCTTTCACTCAGCCACTGACACCTGTGCCCTGGGATTGTGTTGAGGGCCTCAGCCTCCTGTCCCTACTTCACTGAGTGCCCAACGGAAGTTCTTGGCAGTGACAGCTCATGGTTGTTCATGGATGTTCAAGGCAGCAGATTTTCATCTTGCTCAGTTTTCCCCAGCTTAACTGCCAGGCTCCTCCACAAGTTTCTCTGCATGCCCCATGCCACTGGCAGAGTGTCAAGCTCTCAGGACATCAACACAGACTCTCCTTTTGTTTTTGGTGTCTTTAAGACTCGCTACTGGTACTTACACAATCCAGTCAACAGCCAGGATCAGAGAGAGGTCATGCGTTGGCAGTCCAATGGCCTCCAGAATGATGGCGATGGTGAGGACTCCTCCAGCTGGCACGCCTGCTGCCCCTACACTGGACGCGGTGGCAGTCACTCTAGGGGGAGGAGGAAACAAAGTCGGCCACTAATACAGTGCAGAGTGGGCACAGAGAAGCAGAACCTGGCAGCCATGACTTGGAAACCTAAACCCACACCACCATCTCTCACGTCAACAAGGCGATGGTCCACTCTGTTCAGGGACAGCTGGGCCTCCTCATCCTTGGGCTCTGTATCCATGGATTCAGCCAACCATGGATTAAAATTAGGAAAGAAAAATTGTGTCTATACTGAATAAGTGTAGACTCTTCTCCCTAAGAACACAGCATAACGACTGTCTACATTACACTTGTACTTTATATGTGATCTAACGCCCAAGTTCAGCAAAATTATGCTTCAGCACTATAAACTGCTAAATACTAAAATGAAAATAGACACGAGACAGCTGAATAGTACCCTATAGCCATTTTAAGGTGTATAGAAGCCGGTTCTGTATATAAACTGAAATTGAAATGTCAATGAAGTAGTCACGGGATATGGTTAAGAACTTGCATTTTTTAACATATTGGTTACTCAATACCATGTCAAGTAATTCCATAATGTTGTAAATTGTTGTTGATGTTATGTTGGGGCTTTTAATTGATCGGGATAATGTTCTGCCAGCTCTACCTTCACACCAGAGATGGTATTCCCAAGAAACCGTTGAATTTATCTGAACAATAAGATGCTGGACTCTGTGCTTGGTATATGCTTGCAAAGAAAGAATCTTGACTAAAAAAAAAATGTGATCTAACGCATGCAAAAGGGTGTGTATGTGCTATGCAGATCTTATGCTGTTGTGTGTCAGCATGCAAAGATTTTGGTATCTTGGGCAGGGAAGGGATCCTAGACCCAATCCTAAAGATACTGAGGGGCAAGTGTAATGAATTCATCCTGTCCTTATTTTACAAATGAGATGCTGAATGTGGCAAGACTGGCTGCTTTCAGAGAAATACACAAGAAAAACCTAAGGTTGTGAGTCAGGCCCAGAGATGAGGGCTAGAACAAGAAACTTACAAGATGGTGAAAATCTGTCCTGCATTCAGATCCACATTGTTGAGCTGGGCGATGAACACTGCAGCCACACATTGGAAGATGGCAGCGCCATCCATGTTCACGGTGGCACCAATGGGGAGGATGAACCTGCTGATCCTCTTGTCGACACCATTGTTTTCTTCAATGCACTTAATCATGGAGGGAAGTGTTGCTGAGCTGGGAACAGAAAAAACAAAGATGAGACTTGAGTGCAGTCCCTTCCAGCCAGGTGCACGCCCTACAGCGAGACGAGCACAACCCCTGGTTCTGTCTTCCATCCTTGCAAGAATAGAGGGGGCAAATTCAACAATGGTTTCAAAGTACAACATAAAACCTCGACTCCCAAAACATTGAGAATGTGACCTTCTGCGTTATCCTGGGATTATCTGCTTGGATTCTCCTCTTCCACATTTTTCAAGACTCACATGAAGCCTTTTGGGGCAGAATATTCCCAAGAGCATAAAGAATGGCTTGTGCAACCCACCACTGGCTGACCTGATTCATATCACTGTGACTCAAAGCAGCCAAGCACACCTTACACCCACTCACCTGGAGCAGGTAGCAAATGCTGTCGCAAACGGTGTAAGGAGGCCCAGGAGGAACGTGTATGGGTTTTTCCGTGTGAAAACAAAATAAACAAGTGGCAACACGAGTCCTCCATGAATGATGTGGCCCAGGATAGACGCGAAGATGTATTTCCCGAGGCTGGTCACCAGCACCACGATGTCCTTCATTTCAACAATCTTGCTTCCCACCAGGAACATGATGCCCACGGGGACATACCTGGAGCATAAGCACAGGGTATGTGTCAGGAAGGGAGGGGAGGCTGGGGCAAGGGAAAGGGGGAGCATAGGCGATTCTTCATATGGAATGTAGGCTGTCTTCATATCTCTCTAGGATAACCCTGAGAACCAAAAACAAATGATGGGGACAGACCAGCCCAATTTACAGGCCACAAGACTGAATAAGATGAGAGTAACACTGCCTGTATGTGACACAGTCATAGACCACAGACATCTTTCCTGGTAGGAAGATTATAGTCTTTTAGGGATAGACATCACTAACCACATGACCCCCAGCCTGAAAGGGAAAGGACTCAAAGCCCCTGGGGCTGTGAGCTTGACTTTGGGTTTTGCTGAGGTTTATTCTGAGTCTTTATAAAAACACCAAAGACTAACAAACATTTCACAGAATTGCTGTGGTAGCAAAACTGATTCAATGATAGGACTTTTGTGTAGCTTTCCATCCTTTGTGGTTTGAAAAACACTATTCTGTGGGAAAAAATCATTAACAACAACACCCTGGGAAAACTCCAGGAATGGGAAGGTTTTTGTGTTTAGGATAGAAAGGAGTGAATTAAGGGAGTTATTGAGAACAAATCAATTGTTTTTGAATTAATATAAATTAAGGAAGAAGGTTTTAATGATTGACTTTATTTGTAAATAAAACTCATCTGTAAATGTGATTATATGGATAATAATGTTGGACAGTTCCAGTTACAAGGGGTACAAAAGGGTGAGCAGTGTGAAGTCCCTCGTCTTTCTCCTTCCTACACAGGGTTTTTTCCTCCCTTAAAAACGAGTCAGTGTTATTGTTTCTTTTTTTTTTTCTTTTTTTTTTTTAAAGATTTTTTTTTTTTCATTGGAAAGGCGGATATACAGAGAGGAGAGACAGAGAGGAAGATCTTCCGTCCGATGATTCACTCCCCAAGTGAGCGCAACGGGCCGATACTATGCCGATCCAAAGCCAGGAGCCTCTTCCGGGTCTCCCATGCGGGTGCAGGTTCCCAAAGCTTTGGGCCGTCCTCGACTGCTTTCCCAGGCCACAGGCAGGGAGCTGGAAGGGAAGCAGGGCTGCCGGGATTAGAACTGGCGCCCATATGGGATCCCGGGCGTGCAAGGCGAGGACCTTTAACCACTTGCGCCACCGCGCCGGGCCCAGTGTTATTGTTTCTTGAGTCTTCCTTCCAGAGATGGTCTAAGCAGTATGACTGATTTTAAATCCCAAAGTAACACCTGACTACATTATTTAAGTAAAAATGAAACACTGTAGAGTAGACCAAAATCTTCCTTAGGCAGCACCCCAAGCCACAATCCTTAGTAGGTAACCACCCAGACAACCCGTGCATTCAGATACGTAGATATATATTTAAACCCTTTTTACCCAATGTTGTATCTTTATAAAAATACTTGTTTAATTATTTACTTAAAGTCAGAGTTATATGTAGAGAGAGAAACAGTCAAGACAGACAGGGAGAGATCTTCCATCCCCTGGTTCAATCCCCAAATGGCCCCAACAGTAAAGGCTGGGCCAGTTCAAAGCCAGGATCCAGGAACTCCATCCATATCTTCCATCTGGGTAGCAGAACTCCAAGCACTTGTGTCATCTGCTGCTGCTTTCCCAGGCCATTAGCTGAGAGCTGCATCGGGAGTAAAGCAGCTGGGACAGGAAACGATGCTCATATAGGATGCTGCCATTGCAGGTGGCAATTATACCTATTGTGCCACAGCACTTCCCCCCCCGCCTCCCCCATTATTATTTGAATCTTTTCATGTCAGTACATAGAAATCCACCACCTGCAAGGGCAAAGGGGGATTCTCTTTTGTAAGACTGGAAAAATAAGAGGGACAGCAAATGTGGAGCAGTACTCACCACATAATCCATGATACCAGCACCATTGTGGCCTCATTGAGGGAACTGAAGAAACGAATGAGCTCTTCTCCTTCAGAGCCTAGCTTCTTTAGGGCCACTCCCAACACCAAGGCAAAGAGGACCAGTCCTAAGATGTTCATTCCTTCAATCTCGGTGTCAATGGGGATCTACAGCAGCACAGGAGAGAGCGTGGTCCATATTTACAACATACCAGGGTGGGCAATGACACTAACCAGCATGTGAGAGAACCAGGTCAGAGGGTAGATTCTGAGGGGATATGTGGGCCCAACCCTGTGGAACTTCAGTTTCCACTGGTTTGCTTAAGAGCTGGGGGTGGTGACAGGCTGAGCTAGGCATGACCATGGAACCCTCTGACACTTGTGTGTGCTGGGGTTAGGAATAGGCTGGGCTGGTCCAGGCTGTAGCACCTGCATACACACTCAAGAATGGTGTATGGAGGTGGGTCGGGTTGCAACACCCACCAGCTCATACAAAGGCCGGTATGGAGGGGGGGAAGACTATACTGGGTAAAGGTCTAGTGCCTGCTGGCTCACATGAGATCTAGGGCTGGGAGTGAGCCTGGTGGGGAACTTAGGAAACTCCCCTGGTGAGCATATGATTCAGGCTTGGGTGTTGGTTGCTTTAGGTAAGATAGCTCCACTTGTTGGCAAATGTGTGGGTTGGTTCTAGAGGGGGATGGGCCTGGCAGGGCAATACTAACCTTAACTCCCTGGCATGAGCAGGAGCCAGGCTGGAGTGTGGGTCATTGCTGGGCTAGGCTGTCATATCTACTGGTGCATGAGCCAGAGATGGGGACAGGCTGGGCAGGGCTAGGCTATAATACCTATCAGTGAGAGTTGGAACTGAGGATAGGCCAGACCAGGCCAGGCTAGAGCATCTGATGGCAAAAGCCAAGTTGCGTGATGGGTTATAATGTGCTGGGTCAGCACAACCACTAGCATGCACAAGATCTGTAGCTGGGAATAAGCCTGGTTGGGGAGCTTAGGGAACACCCCAGCTGGGTGGTGGGTCCCTTTGGTAAGTGTGAGAGCTGGAATAGGGGACGTGTTCTAGGCCGGACATGACTGCAGTATCTCTTGGCATGGGTGTGGACAGGGCCTAAGGTGTGCCAGAGTGGGCTAGACTAGCAGCAGCTGGTGCTTGTGAGAGCCAGGATGAATATAGAATGGGCTGGGCTATGTCTCAGTTCCCACTGAACCAGATGACAGCTGTGTCTTGGTGTGGACGAGGTGTGGCTAGCTATAATACCCAATAGTAAGAATTGGAATGGTTGTGGGCTAGTTTGGCAAGGCCACTGTTCTGCCAGGACAGGAGGTAAACTAAGTCAGGCTGGGCCAAGGACCCTCCAGTATGTGTGAGATCTGCTACTAGGAGTAGGTCTGATAGAGGAACTAGGGGAACTCCTTTGTCAGGACAGTCCTTGCAGATGAGTGCAAGAACCAAGGCTGGTAGCAGCCCAGAACAAGCCATTTTACAGTACCAGCCAGCATTTGTATGGTTCAGATCTAGGGACAGATCAGGCTGGGTCAGTTCATAGGACCCACTGGTATATCTGAGAATCAGGATGGGGTGCAGGATAGGCCGAGTTGGGCTGCGATACCAACCAGTTCACATTAGGGCCAGGACTGGAGGCTGGCTGGGCAGGGCTGGGCTGGGAATGAGCTAGAACCAGAGCCAAACTAGGGCCAGGCCACAGCACCTGCTGACAAACGCTGAGGTGAAACAGGCAATGCCAAATTGGGCCGCAGACACATGAGATCTGGGGGTAGAGGCAGAGTATGAGTCTAGTGCTGGGACTGTGGGGGGCTCCCCTGCTGGGCCATTGTCCCTACTGGTAAGCATGAGAGTTGGGATGGGCGTTCCAGGCCAGGCAGGGGCACAATAACTGTTACCCTACATGTGAACAGGGTTAGGAGGAGCGTCAAGCAGGGCTAACCGACTATATCCACCAGTGTATGCATGAGCCAGAGTAAATGCAGGTTGACTGGGCTTTGCCACAGCGTAAGCTAGTAAGTGCTGGGACTGGGGGAAAATCCTGTTAAACTAGACTATAGAACCACCTGAGGAGTACAAGAGCTGGGGCTGGGAGTGGGCCTGTTAGCTTAACTGTAGGCACCTCCTTGATGATTTGTAATTCCCACTGGTAAGCACAAGAATCAGGTCCAGGGGTGGTTCTGTCAAGACAGGAGGCAGCACCTGCCAGCATGAGTGTGGGCTGGATAGTGGGGCTGGATGTGGGCTGGCTATTGGGTTGTTTATGAGAACTGAATAGGATGTGGGACAGACTAGCCAGTCTGCTGTACATACTGTACATACTGGTAGAAACTAGAGCTGGGAGTGAGCCTAGGGGCTTATTGGGGTCGCCCTAACTAGGCTGCAGTTCCTGTTAGTGAATGTTAGAGTCGAATGTATAGAGGGCAAGGTTGGGCTGGCCACAGGATCCATTGATTTATTTAAGAAATGGAGTTGGAGATAGAACCGACCCAACAATTGCAACTACCAGTGAGTATGTGTATATGGCATGGGTGACTGACTAAGCTGGGCCTGTGCTATCAAACACACAAAAGAGTCTGGGATCCCTGCAGACAATATTTCTGTGGGGATCCCCCCAAATGAACTACTGGAGTCAGAACTCTAACCTTGGGGAGAACTGTAAGATCTGTGATCTGACCGTGGAGTGCATGTGTCACAACTGGACCTCCTTCGTGGTTAAGATGGAACAGTAGATGGCATGCCCAGATGCACATGGAAGATAGGGCAGTCCATTGGGGCCTGCAGAGGACATTTGGTACCAAAACAGAGGAAGGAGAGGAGGACAAATTGCTCAACTGCCCCAGCCAAGTGTTGACAGCAAATGTCTGGATGAATGGAGACTCTGAGGTGGACTGTGTCAGCAGATGGACCTTGGAAGGATTTCCTCTTCCTTGGGTCAGCGAGATAAACAATATTTCAGAACTGTCGAAACCACTCAAGTGGAACCATTGGAGCAAACCCCACATCGCAGACTCTGGGATGACATTGGGTGGCTGTTCCCCATCTCTGGGTACTGGGCAGCAGGGAGGCTGCCAGTTCATATCCCAACAGCCCCACTTCCCATCCAACTCCCTGCTTGTGGCCCGGGAAAGCAGTCAAGGACAGCCCAAAGCCTTGGGACCCTGCACCCTCATGAGACCTGGAAGAAGTTCCTGGCTTTGGATAGGCTCAGCACTGGCCATTGTGGCCATTTTTGGAGTGAATCAGTGGACAGAGATCTTTCTTTCTTTCTGTCTCTCTCTGTATATCTTTCTCTCTGTATTTAATTAGTTAATTAATTAATCTTTAAAAAAAACCAAACTGATGGGGTAGCTTTTCCTTTTCTTCCAGTGTTTCATCATAAACATGATCAAATATTTGATGAAGAAACTGAAATTCAGGACAATGATCACAGCAATGCAACACAGGGATACAGTAGTTACATATAACCACTGGCTGTGTCATAAGTCCCTCAACCTTTCTGTGCCTGTTTTCCATCCACAAAATGGGATAAAATACTAGCTTAAATGTAAGGTAGTTATAAGGGTTAAATAGGTTAATACAAAGACTGTATCTAGCAAATGAATTGGCCTTCATTACATCAACAAGAATTAGCTATTTCATGAGTATTTTTTTTTTAATTTTTAGGCTCATTTGTTATTTGGAGCATGTTCATGTGAGCTTTAAGATTTATTTGAAAGAGTTATAGAGGGGAGGGAAGGGAGAGACAAAGAGGGAGTGGTCTTCCATCTGCTGCATCAGTCCCCAAATGTCTGCAACAGCTGTGTTAGTCTGGAGCCAGAAACTTCATCTGGGTCTCCCACGTAGGTGCAGTGAACCAAGCACTTGAGTCATCCTCCACTGCTTTCTCAGGCACATTAGCAGGGAGCTGGATCGTGGGTAGAGCAGCTGAGACAGACTAGTACCCACATGGGATGCTGTCGGTGCAGGCAGCAGCTTTTACCTACTAGGCTTTGGGGACAAGAACATTCCCTGTACATCTTTACAGTCTTACAAAATACGAGATTTATGCAACCCTGCAACCAATGTGGACCTACTGGCCTTTCCTTCTTGAAGACTGACTCCCTTCAATTTTTGAGTTAACTCATAGTGGATGCCAGGGTGAGTCAACTGCATGGATGCTGGAGGTCATCAGCATTGCCAGCAAGGAACTCAGAGCAATCGATCAGTGTCATGTTTGTGAAAACCAAATGTATCACAGAGACAATTGATGTTGCAGTATTTACTCATCATTCTTCCTTTCAACTAGCTTGATTTATCATGAAAGGCCACCATTCCAACTGCAGGGGGATTTTCTTTGGGAAATATCCTCACAGGCAACAAAGGAGAAGCTTTTCTGCACCCTACATGTTTCTGAACATCTCACCCGAGGTTCAAATAGGACAGCCCTGCTTAGAATGACTGGAGTTGGAGCAGATTCCATTTTACACAATCTTATCTGCATAGTTTTCATGTACACTGAATTTTCCAAGAATATCAAGTTGATATAAACTGAAGGTAGACTGTTTTGTTCTTGACTTCACCAAGTGTTATTTTTTTAGGATGTTGTACCACCAATAGCCCAGTTTCTAATTACTTCCTAGTCCCCAGCAAAACGTACAATGTCAATTTTCAGGTAATCTGTGGTTTTAGTGAGTCTGTGTACATATATAAAAATATTTATTCTGTAGCAGTTTTTAAGAAATGAATTGAATGTTGTCATATTGCTTTTGCAGCCAATATATCAATTCTAAGCAGAAATGAATATATATATGAAAGCCTCATCATGCCTTCTAGTTGCAGCATGATTTTTCATGAGGATATTGTTTTATTATAGTTTTTTGCTCTTTACCCCTTGAGTTTTTTTTAAAGGTACATTGGTAAGGCAGGTTAAGGCACTTGTGGATTCTATTTCAGGAGACTAGAAGCGGTATTATGAGCTATTTTATAAAGGGTGGGCATTTGGCCTAGCTGTTAAGACATCACTTAAGATGACTGTGCTCCATATCAATGTATCTGAGTTCAAGGCCTGGCTCTGGCTTCCAGTTCTAGCTTCCTGCTGATATGAACTCTAGGAGGCATGGTGATGGATCAAGTAATAGAATCCCTGTCATCCATGTGGGAGACTTGGCTAGAGTTCCCATGTCCTGGCTTCTGCCCAGACCCATCCCAGCTGTTGTGGGTATTAAAAGAGTGAACCAGCAGATGGGAGTTCTCTTTATTTTTCTCCCAAATATTTTAAAATCAGTTTATTTTTATTGGAAAAGCAGATTTACTGAGAGAAGGAGAGACAGATAGAAAGGTCTTCTATCCACTGGTTTACTCCCCAAATGGCTACAGTGGCCAGAGCTGAGTCAATCCAAAGCCAGGAGCATCCTCTGGTTTTCCCACATGAGTGCAGGGTTCAGGGACTTGGGCCATCCTCCGCTGCTTTCCCAGAACATAGACAGAGAGGTGGATCAGAAGTTGAGCAGCCAGGACTTGAACCAGTGCCCACATGGGATGCTGGTGCTTAAGGAGGAGGATTAGCTAATTAAGTCATTGTGCTGACTTCCCAAGTAAATTTAAAAAACATTTTTATGATCTTTGGAGGATTCCAGGACTACCAAAAGTGGTTTTAGGCCACTTGGAAAAGAACCAAAGGAACAATCCAAACCTGTGTGCTTCACGTGGTCTACTCGAACCCAAAGTTCCCAGCCCTGCTGAATATGATGCGTACACCTTAAGAAATTTGCTTTACTCTGTAAATATTTTTCACAAATGATCTTACAAAGTGCTTTACCTTTTCACTGGTGATGTTTCCAGAGCTGGTGTTATGAATTTCCACTTTGTAGGCAGTTGCATACTACAATCAAGAGGAAGAAAAGCCCAGTTAGTGCCTGGGAGAAGACTGCCCAGAGGGACAGTCAGCATGGCCAGATCTGTCCATGTTTCCTCATTATTTATGCCAAGTGTTGGGGACATGCCTCACTTATTAACCTGACAAGGGTCCCTGGGAACAATATAGAGCTTACTTCTATGCCCAGGCAGCAGGACCGTGGAGGAGTGTCTGTCCTATATAGTGACCTATGGAAACAAGGCAGTCAGTGGGTGTAACAAGGTGTGCATGACTCCCTGCTAGAGTTAGTACTGTAAACTATAAACTGATGTGCCGTAGTGAAGAATCTTGGCATTGATGCCACAGTGCCAAAGATCACATTTCCCTGTGCTGATTTGCTTCCATTCATTCCACTTCATTTCAGTACTTGTTTGAGTACAATTGCTCTTTAGCATCTGTTTCTAATCCAGTTTGAGCGTCAGCTCTACAGAGTAGAGGAAGGGAGGGAGGCAAGATGCCTTTTTTCTGGCTGTGTTACCTAGGTGACTGGCTCACCAGAGGTGGATCAAGGCCCCAGTGTGGGCCCTGGGGCTGCCTTTGCAGCTGCCGCAGGATGCACACAGTGGGATTTAGGGGAGTTTGCTAGGGTGCATCTTCACGCCATGCCTCAGGAGGAATCCATGAGGAGGTACAGAGCCAGAAGTCTGCTTTGTACTTGCCTTTGATGGTCTCTCGCTTCCCTTAGCTTTGGCTTACCAAGATTTCATAGGCAGAGATGTTCAGCTGTCCCGTGGTCAGGAGGGGCAGGGAAATAAGACCGGACCAGAACCCAGCCACCACACCCCACACCACCCCTTGTGACATGCACTGAAAGCCCATTAAATCTTTTTTTTTCTAACTCACATTATAGGTATACAAGTCACTCCTGTGCTTATAAAAATAAGCACACCAACTAAAATAAAACAGAGCAAATGTAAAACGGCTGTAAGTTGAAATTAAGATGTCTTGCAAAAAGGAATGAGAGGAGTCCAGCTAATGTCACCTTTATTTCCCTTCTCTGGATGAAGAATGGCCACCAGATGCCGTTGCCACGTCATCCCCCACCCTATGTCTACTGCAAAGATTCACTTGCTTAACAAAGCATCCAGCCTTACCGTGCGGAATGCTGCAACCACAAGGTTGGAGGGAAACAGGTTTCTGTGGGAAAAGAAAGCATTCTGTCAGGATTCCTACAATTTGGAGTGCCACACACCTGCTGATACCCCTTTCTAACCACCCAACATGGTGTTCTTGCTGTCCCTACCTACAGAGGACACTGTGACCTTCCACTTAATCTAAGCACCTCACCAGGGCCGCTGTGACTGTGCCCCAATACATTCTCATCTCTCCTCTGGTATGCCTCAATGTTTAGGACTGACTAAAACCCACTAACCTTAGGACCCGCTGTCCTGTCACCAAGGGTGTGACTTTCTAGTTACACTGCTGTGAGAAAAACAGCCAATAGCTGGTGGGCATCCTGGGCCTGGTTAATACCTTTGTGGTAACTATACCTTTGTGTTAACTATATGCCAGCATATTTGCCTGTTCTATTTTTTTTATATAATTTTAAGATTAAAAAAGAGATTTATTTTTTATTGGAAAGTCAGATATACAGAAAGGAAGATCTTCCATCCACTGATTCTCTCCCCAGAGCTCAATCAATCTGAAGCCAGGAGTCAGGAACCTCTCCCAAGTCTCCCACATAGGTACAGGGTCTCAAGGCTTTGGGTTGTTCTCAATTGCTTTCCCAGGCCACAAGCAGGGAAAGCTTGTGGCCTGGGAAAGTGGGGCTGCCAGGATTAGAACCAACGCACACATGGGATCCCAGCACATGCAAGGTGAAGACTTTAGCTGCTAGGTGATCGTGCCAGTCCCAATTTTATTATTATTATTTTAAGATTTATTTATTTTTATTATAAAGTCAGATATACAGAGAGGTGGAGAGACAGAGAGGAAGATCTTCCATCCACTTGTTTCCTCCTCAAGTGGCCACAATGGCCAGAGCTGAGCTGATCCAGAGCCAGGAGCCAGGAGCTTCTTTGAAGTCTCCCACTTGGGTGCAGGGTTCCAAGGCCTTGGGCCATCCTCGACTGCTTTTCCGGGCCACAAGCAGGGAGCTGGGAGGGAAGTGGAACAGCCAGGATACAAACCAGTGCCCATATGGGATCCTGCAGTGTGCAAGGTGAGGATTTAGCTACTGGGCTACCACACTGCTCCCAGGCCTCCCTTTTAAGATATATGTGTGGGATAGGTAGAGCTAGATCATGGCAACTGCTGGATCATGTGATTGCAGGCAGCTGCATCTACTGGTATGTTCATTGCCTGGTGCAGGTGATGAACCAAACCTGATCCTGCACTGGCTGATGCACACAAGAGGTCTGAAGCAATCCCAGGTGAGGTTTCTTGGGAGACTCCCCAACTAGATCCCTGGACTCAAACCCTGGCTACAGAGGAAAAGCGTAAGATATGTGGTCTGATCTTGGAGTGCGTGTTTAGTAACTAGTAACCTACTCAGCTACTGATGCCTGTGCAAGGGACAGCATGCCCAGATGAAAATGGGATAAATGAAAATTAGACCATCTAAGCCAGCAGAGAATGTTAGATGCCTCACCAGAGGATGGAAAGCAGAACAGGTTGAACCACTTTCCTGGACAAGATTTGTACCATATTCCTGGGTCTGTGGATGCAGAGTTGAACCTTATAGCCAATATATCTTTTTTTTAAAAAATTCCCTTTTTAATTTTTTTTCATTTTTCATTGTTATTGCCATTTTATGATACAGTTCCATAGGCCCTGGGATTTCCCATTCCCCTACCCTAAATCCACCCCCCCCACACACACACACACTGATTTCTCCCATGTCATTAAAACAGCATAGTTCCTCACAAACAGTCATAAGTCCATCATTGCGGCCAGGGACAATGGCAGAGAGTCCAGTATCCCAGTGTCAAGACACATCCAACAGTTTCACTGGGAGTCCATCCTCGATCTGGAAGTAGAGATGTACACTGTATCCTCACATATAGACACGTCAGTCTGCACTAGACAGTCACTATAAATCTCCCCAAGTGAAAAGCCACAATGAAATCAACTACAGGAAGAAAAACAGAAATTTATAATGCCATTAAGTTAAATTACATGCCACTAGATATGATAGTCTCTGTTACAGTTACTGTGTATACCTTTAATGAAAAGCCATAAAACAAAATCAACTGGAAGAAAAAAAATTATAACGCCATGTAATTAAATAACATACTACTGAATGACTAATGCGTCACTGAAGAAATGAAAAAGAAAAGAACTTTGTTGAAGAAAATGATGCTACTGTATGACCTATGAGTCACTGAAGAATTTAATGAGAAAAAAAGTGTTTTGAAGACATGAAATTAAAAACATCAAAATCCATGAGATAACACTTCCCACTTATCTTTGTTGGTGAAATGTGTCTCCTATGTGCAACAAATAGATGGGTTTTGTGTTTTTAATCCAGCTTACTAATCTATGATTGATGAGTTTAAGCCATTTACATTCAGGGTTAATATAAATAGTTGGTAATTTGGTCCTGTCATTTTAGGAATGAGTTGTTCATTGATTTGGTCTTCTGTTGTTATTTTATTGGGATATTCTTCACATTTGCCTTTGGATTTAGTGGGTGCTATTCCTTTTCTCTGTCAAGAAAACATCATTAAGTATCATTGTAAGGCAGGTTTGGACAAGGCATATTCTTTGAACTTTTTCTTTACTGTGAAGAATTTTATTTCATTTTAAAAAACAAAAGAAAGCTTTGCTGGGTACATTATCCTGGGTTGACAATTGTTTTTTTTTTTTTGCTTTTAGATTCTGGAATTGTTGCTCCATTCTCTCTTTGCCTGTAGTTTCCTAAGAGCTGTGAATTTAATTGCCAGTCCTCTATAGGTCAGTTGATTTTTTTCATGAGCGTATTTAAGGATCTTTTCCTTATATTCAATTGAAGAGAGCTTGATTATCATGTGTTGTGGTGAAGATCGCTTTTGCTCAACCCTGTTGGGGATTCTGTCCCCTCCTGGATGTTGTTTCCCAATTCTTTCTCTACATGAGGGAAGTTTTAATTTATTATTTTATTAAATATAGCTTTAAACCTAGCTTCTCTTTCTGCACCTTCTGGAACTCACATAACTCTTTTATATTTAGCCTTTTAATAGTGTCTTAATTCTCAAATACATTGTTTTTAGCTTTACCCAGCTCTTCTTGCAGCTTTTTGATTGTTTCCCCATTGTGACAGGAAATATCTTCCAACTGAGATTCTTTCTTCTGCCTCCTTCATTCTATTATTGAGATTTTCCACTGAATTTTTTAACTTGCTCTGTTGCATTATTTCCAATAATTTGGCTTGATTTTGTTTCAGTGTTGCTATTCCTGTAACGTATTAAATTCCTGCATGTGCTTCTCATTGTTGATAAGAAGCTTTATAATAAATGTTTTGAGTTCTGTATCCCCCATTTTCACAATATATTCCTCAGTCAGTTAATGCTGAGGTTGGCAAAGGCTTTTGCTCCTTTGCAAGGGAGTCTTCAGTAACATTGTGCTTTTGTCTCTTCTTTTGCTCTTGGTCATTGTGCTTCTGGTTATCAGATTCTTCTCCTTGGGGGTAGGTTTCTAAGCTGTGTCACCCACAGGTCGGCAATTTGATTTTACTTGTTGCAGTTGGTACAGGATTCTTTTACATTCACTTGTGCCATTCCCTCCAGCAACTTTCAGGCCTGGGTTCTTATGTTAGATTTCCACCATTGTTTCTGTAGCTCCAGCTCCTGGCTCAGCACTCTAACTCCTGTGAATCTGTGCTGTTGATACACCCTTGTCTGCACAACATTTCTCCCACTTCCAGTTTTTGCATTTCCCAGGATTAAGGAGACACTAGGTGTCCTAAATAGCTGAATTATTGGTGGTGCTGATCTTGCTGGAACCCACTGCCTGTTAGGTCTGAGGGCCACACGGACCTATTTTGAGTTGTAAGATGCCAAAGCCAGTATTATTCTTGATGTGGGACCAGTGCAATGCACTGAGCTCAGTGAGTTTGCTCCCAGCTCAGTGCATATGCAGCTCATTATTGTCCTTATATGCTCAAAGCCTTTGCCACACTGTAAGAAATGGCTCCTGATATGCCACTGCTGGAGTTCTTGATTTGCAGACTGTCAGGTCTGGGGACTACCCAGACCTATTTTGGGTAGAATCTGTAGGATGCCACATTGTTGCAATTCACTGAGCCAGAAATGAGTTTGCTCCCAGCTTAGTGCATTTCCAATCCTGCCTCATAGCACTTACCTCCCTACACAAGATGGTGCCCAATCCGATTCTGTTGGGAGTTTGGGCTGTTATATACATGCTGTTCCCGCACCACCTTTTTGGGATCTGCTGCTCTGTCTCCTTCTGGTCAAATCAAACAAACCAGCAGGAAAAAGGCAGTTGTTTGGGTTCAACTTCTACGTTCCAAGTGGCTTCCTCTTCCCACCTTGCTGGTCTCACCTGGTTGCTGGTGGAGTTCTGGCCACTGGTGCATTTCAGATTGCCACTGGCCAAATGCTTCTGGGATGTCTGGTTACTGCAACACCACACCGTTGTCTCTGCTACTTTTCTGTGTCCATCAGTCTCCAGGTACCCCTTTGCCGTTGGTCTGTCCCCTCCTATTTCCTGGAATGTGTCCTCTCTGCTTCACCTGGCTAATGTTTCTTTCTGTTGAAACATGGCCTCACCCTATTCCACCATCTTGATTCTCAGCTAATATATCTTGAAAAGATTTTCTTAACTCTGGTGCAATGAAGCCAATGATGTCTCAGAACTATCAAAACCACTTAAGTAACACCATCGGAAAACTATTCCTCACACTGGCATTTCTAAGGTATCATCAAGTGACCATGCCCCATCCTTGGGTGCTGATGTAGTTTGACAGCAAGGAGCAGCCTCCTCCTCCCCATGCCCAAGGACACACACACAAAAATAATGGAACATTTGTCCTACCCATCCTCCTTCATACCTGACCCGCCCCACCTTAATCAGAGGTACCCATGTGTGTATACCCCTCTCAGCTAAATAAACAATATTAAAAGTAAAATCATAGGTTAATTTAAAAGATTTGTGTATTTGAAAGGCACAGTTTGAGAGGAGGGGAAGACAAATATCTT